GGGACCGTGGGCTCCGCCGCGGTCTCGGTGATCATGACTGCGCAGCCTGGCCAGGCTCCGGAGCAGGTCCTTCCACTGCGTCCGACGCCCCCTACAGGCCGGGAGGTCCACGGACCCCCACCCTGCGGCTGGCCAGCCACGAGACCCCGGGGAAGAAAGGCGAGCCAAGACCGCGGGCCGCCCAAGCAAGCCCTCCATCCTCCACCCACCCTTCTTGTTCCGGTCCAGCGATCGCGTTTTTCCTTGAATGTGCGGCTCTGAATACAGAACAGCTGTTAGCCTTGAGTTCGTTTCTATGCTTGTATCTCAACACCGACTTCCACGTGAAGCGGGTATTGAGCGTGGGTTTTGACATTCAAGAGCGTTAAGTATGCCTGGGCAACCTAGGGAGGCCCGCTCTCTACAGAAAAAACAGCCCGACATGGTGGCTCCCGCCTATAGTCCCAGCTACTCGGGAGGCTGAGGTGGGAGGATTGCTTGAGCCTGGGAGTTGGGAGCTGCCATGAGCTATGACCGTGCCACTGCACTCCAGCCCGAGCCACAGTGAGACTGCCTCAATAAAAGTGCAGTGGTTGGAATTCCACCGACATTAACAGAGATTCACTGGCTCTCCAGAGAATCACAGGGGTGAAGACAAGATTCAGTGACAGGGACGGTGTCAACGGCCCTCCGAATTGAATTGGGTGTCTTATGTAATAGCCCTGAGCCTGGGGCATAGCAGGGGCCAGTACGACCTCAAAGTACAGAGAAGGCCTTGGAGCTTCCTGCTGGAGGGATCCACGGGCTAGATTGAGCTTTGGAAAGCTTCCTCCTCCAGGGGCTCAGAGGAGTAGGAAGATGCTGGTAGCCTAACATAGTGAAGAGGGACCAGCTCAGGTATGGGGTGACAGACACCAGCCTTCAAGGGGGAAGGGACTAGGCTGTTAGTGAGTCGGGAGTTTTTCCTGCCGATGGGTTCGTGGTCTCACTAACTTTGAAGAAGGAAGCTGTGGACCTTCGCGGTGTGTGTTACAGCTCAAAAAGAGTCCACAGACCGGGAGAGTGAGCAGCAGCGCAGTTTATTGAACAAAGCGAAAGGAAAGCTTCCACAAGCTGGAAGGGGACCCAGAAGGGTTGCAGTTACTGGCTCGCTAGGGCTTATATCCCGGTGTTACCCCCTCCCCTTTCTTTTTGTCCACTGAGAGTGGTTCTTTTTTCAATCCTCCCTTGGAGTGGTTTTTTTAATTATTATTATTATTATTTTTTTTTTTTGAGACAGAGTCTCGCTCTGTCACCCAGGCTGGAGTGCAGTGGCGCCATCTCGGCTCACTGCAAGCTCCCCCTCCCGGGTTCATGCCATTCTCCTGCCTCAGCCTCCCAAGTAGCTGGGGCTACAGGGCGCCACCACGCCCAGCTAATTTTTTGTATTTTTAGTAGAGATGGGGTTTCACCGTGTTGACCAGGATCATCTCAATCTCCTGACCTCGTGATCCACCCGCCTTGGGCTCCCAAGTGCTGGGATTACAGGCGTGAGCCACCGCACCCGGCCTGGAGCCGTTAATTTTGAATCCTTCACTCCATTGGTTAAGAACTCAAAACCCTGAGTCACAGGGGTCTTCTGTGAAAATCCCTGAACTGGCCCAGAAAGTCCCACCAACTCCACCCGTCAGTCCCCTCTCTCAACAGAAGACCCCAACTGCTGTTGGGGTGTGGGACAATGACGGCTCTAATTGCTTCCTGCTAAATAGGGGCATAGAACGGGTCCTGTAGCTGAGGTTTCCTCGTGAGAGGTGGTTTGGGTGTCAGCGTCCGGGTATGGGCTGGCCGTCTAGGGTGCTGATAATAGGTGCTGGTTGAAGTTATCCAAGGTTCCATCTGCATTTCTAGTTTCTAGTTTCATTGATTCTATTCGGGAAGAAACGAAGCAGATGAGGGAATTGAAAAGACATGGGCCAAAGGTTACTCCTAGAATAAGGAGGGGACCTAAAAATGGAAGAAGCCAGGAGAGAACACGCTGTGAGAACCCTGAGGTAGCTTCGGTTGTCCCACTGTGTAGTCTGCTGGCTCTATTCTGAAGTCATTTAATTCCATCTCTGACTATGCCTGATTTACTGACAAAAAAACAACATTCCTGGCTCAGAAAAAGGCACGTTCCTCCCCTTTCAGCAGTGAGGAGATCTAATGCTCGCCCGTTCTGGAGAACCACGGCTGCTAATGAGTCTGTTTGGTCCTGGATTTGAGTAAGTTGGAGAGAGATTTCATCTAGGCTTTCTCTTAGTTCTTTAGAGAGAGTTAAGGATACAGGCCGGGCGCGGTGGCTCAAGCCTGTAATCCCAGCACTTTGGGAGGCCGAGTCGGGCGGATCACGAGGTCAGGAGATCGAGACCATCCTGGCTAACACGGTGAAACCCCGTCTCTACTAAAAAATACAAAAAACTAGCCGGGCGAGGTGGCGGGCGCCTGTAGTCCCAGCTACTCGGGAGGCTGAGGCAGGAGAATGGCGTAAACCCAGGAAGCGGAGCTTGCAGTGAGTTGAGATCCGGCCACTGCACTCCAGCCTGGGCGACAGAGCGAGACTCCCTCTCAAAAAAAAAAAACAAAAAACAAAAACCTGGGGGATATGTTTATAATTCCCTCAAGATGAGAGGAAGAGGTTGAACGGGAAAAGGTTAAGACTTGGGCAAAGGCAAGGAAAGATAGAATGTTAGAGTACATTCTGTTTTTAAAACAAGAACTGAGGTAGAACTTATGAGCACTGATTAATTTCCTGTGGTTTTTCCTTCTGAAAGAGGATACGTAGGTCTTCCAATGACTCGCAGGTATAAGAAGGTTTGTCTGGCTGACTCTTAGATTCCCGAACTAATGATTCTGTGGGTTTTTCAGGCTGCGTCCAAGGTTTGATTTTGGTGTGATGGATCCAAGACTCCACTCCAATTACCTTGACTGCAGTTGGAGTGGAGAGGGTAACCGAATAATTGTCCTTCCCAGGATAGATTTAGGGATGGGGAGGTAGAGGGGAGGGACTTGACTAATACTAGATGCCCGGGATGGAACAATGCTTTTCCCTTTTCTCAGTGGCATCCCTCGGATAATGTCTTAAGGATTTGTTGGTACCTAGCCAAAGAAGTTATGTCCTTGACTAAGTTGGCAGTTTCTCGATCAAGTAAGAGGTCGTTTGTGAGAAAAGGCCGTCCATATAGCATTTCATAAGGACTGAGTCCTATCTTGTAGGGAGAATTTCAGATCCTTAATGCTATGGGCAAGAAGGTAGGCAGGCCATGGGAGGTGAGTTTCATGTGTTAATTTCCCTAAATGCCTTTTGAGTATTTCATTCATCTTCGTGACTTTCCCTGAGGACTGTGGTCCCCAGGCACAATGAGGGTGATACTGTATTCCTAGCGCCTTGGAAATTCCCTGAGTCACCGTAGTTCTGAAAGCCAGGCCATTATCATTTTGTAAACTACAGGGAAGTCTAAACCTAGGAATTATTTCACGGACCAGGCTTTGATTACCTCCTGGGCCTTTTCTGTCTTACAGGCGAAGGCTTCAACCCAATTCGTGAAGGTATCAACACAAACTAGTAAGTATTGAAGTCCTCGTGACTTAGGCATATGAGTGAAATCTAACCGCCATTCCTCTCCAGGGTGGCGGCCTGTCCTTTGTTCTCCCTGAGGGGGTTGGTGATGGACCAAGGGGGTCATTCCTTTGGCACACTTCGCAGGCCTTGACTATCTGCCGGATAGTTTTAAGGAGGTCTCGTCCAGTGAACAGAGATTTGGCCATTTGTTGGGCGTACTCAATACTCATATGGAATGTTTGGTGAAGGATTTTAAGTATTTTCCATTGATTAGCTGCGGGTGTGAGCACCTTTTCCTCCTCAGTAGCTAGCCATCCTTAGGGGAGAAAACTATGTCCCCGTGAAAGTCCCCATTCCGTTTCCGCAGGGGAATACTGGGGCCTGGTCTCCTGAAGGGGGTTATCCCATACCAAGGGTCCCTCCATAGGTGTTTCTAATGGGCGGTCCCGTCTTGTGGCAACTTTGGCCTTGGCGTCTGCCCAGCAATTTCCTTCTGCCTCCTTTCCTTCGCCTTTCCGATGGCCTCGGCAGTGCAAGACTGCCACTTCCTTGGGTTTTTGTAATAATTTCTTTTTCTTTTTTTTTTTTTTGAGACGGAGTCTCGCTCTGCCGTCCAGGCTAGAATGCAGTGGCGCGATCTCAGCTCACTGCAAGCTCCACCTCCTGGGTTCACGCCATTCTCCTGCCTCAGCCTCCCAACTAGCTGGGACTATAGGTGCCCGCCACCACACCTGGCTAATTTTTTATATTTTTAGTAGAGACGGGGTTTCACCATGTTAGCCAGTATGGTCTCGATCTCCTGACCTTGTGATCTGTCCATCTCAGCCTCCCAAAGTGCTGGGATTACAGGCGTGAGCCACTGCGCCCAGCCGGGTTTTTGTAATAATTTCATAATTTCTTCATGGTATTTAATGGGTGTTCCTCTGGAGGTTAGGAACTCCCTTTCTTTCCATATGGCAGCATGGGCATGTAGAACTAGATAAGCACATTTGCCATCCATATACATATTTATTCTTTTTCCCTTTCCCGGCTCTAAAGCTCGGGTAAGCGCCACCAGTTCTGCTAACTGGGCGCTGGTCCCTAGGGGAAGGGGCCCACTTTCAACGACTGCTTTATCACTAACTATGGCACATCCTGCCCTTTGTAATCCCTTTTCTACAAATGAACTTCCATCAGTATATAGGTTGAGGTCAGGGTTGGTTAAGGGGACCTCTAAAAGATCCTCCCGGGCAGCCTAAGTTTGGGCTATGACCTGTTGACAGTCATGTTCTATTGGTCCTTCGTTTTCTGGGAGAAAGCCAGGTTAAGAGCTGCACAAGTGCGCATCTGAAGCACTGGTCCCTCAAGTAATAAGGCCTGGTACCTAAGTAGGCGATTGTCTGACAGCCACAAATCTCCTTTAGCAGTTAGCATGCCGTTTACATCATGAGTAGTCCATACAGTGAGGTCTCTCCCTTGTATTATTTTGACGGCCTCTGA